GTATTTTTAATAGTTTTGAGAAGGGTCATTCAAATAGTTCTTAAGTATTAGAACTAACAAAAAAATTTTGCTGAATTTTTATTAGTTGCTAGTAGTTTATATTCTTTTTAATTTTAGAATTATGAACAAAAATTGTTTAATTTTTTTGTTAGCACTTGCATGGTAATCCTCTGCTAGTTTAAAAGTCTGCATGGAGTGCAGCTTTTGAGCTAGTTATTAATAAAATTGTTAATATTCTCATCATTTTGTATCATGAACTTTTAAAGGAACCACAAACCTGTTTATGGATAGTCTAGTTCATATAGAAAAGAATACATGAGGTTGCTGTTTTTTTTATTTATATTTTATGAGAGGTGACATCCTATGTTGCTTATTTGATGCGTTTATGTCTAGCTACTCATATCTGAGTTAGTGATTACCTAACCCCTGATGCAGTGCTTGCTCATGTATATTTGGACTTTTTCAACACCTACAGAGCCAACCTTTGGTTTATACTACAACTATATGAAGCATTTTTTGTGAGAGAACACATAATCATACACAATCACCAGTTTGAGGGCTAGTATACTCAAACTCTCGGTCATGATGACTTGTGAATTTGTGCTGGCACAACCATCAACACCTTCTGAACAGCTTTGTTTATTTTACTCATAAGGCTGTAGTTCTCAAACACTTTCCAATCATCTTCCCATCAAAAAGTTACCTTCTTGACAAATCGACCATGGTGAGTTTTGAACCCGGGTCTCAGGGTTAGAACACTAATATTCTAAGTACTCAGCCATGCACCCATGCTTATTTATTGGTAATAGAGTAACAACTTCAGAGTTTCAATAAAAAGAAACCAAAATAAGTTGAAAAATGTTCCAATGCCTTATATTATTTTTATGATTTCCACTTTAATATTCCCAGAGTTGTGAATGTTTTAATGTAAATGTGGGACAATATTTAATGACTTGATGATTGCTTTTGCAGTTCATTGCATATTTGCCATTTGATTAAATCTTCCATTCCTATTGTACAGTTTTTCTTTTTTTTTTCAATTTCTCATATTGAAATTAATGGAGTTTTCCCTCTTAGAGATTAATTTTCTAATTTTAATAAGCGCTTGTGTTATTCTGTTAACTCTTGCTGAGAAAATTAACCTTCTGCTAATAAAAATGTAACAAAATTGCTCCTCAATTTCTGTTTGTTTTTTTTTTTTTTTTTTTGTTTTTTTGTTTTGTTTTTTTGTTTTGTTTTTTTTTTTCAGGGCCAATAAAGAAGTCAGTTGTTTTTAATTATTTAATGAACTTTGTTTCTTATCATATATATTGCACAGATAATTTAAAATATATTTCAAAAGTAAAAGGCAGTGTCAGTGTGGTTTCATGAATAATAAAAAATATGGTTAAGATTGTAAAGGAGAAATATTCTAAAATTATCAATATTATTATTCTGCTTCTTTATATCATATATATATATATATATATATATATATATATATAATGATGTATTCGGAGGAGGAGGGGCATATTCAACAAAAAATCAAAAATTGCTTTTTTCACTGCAAATTATTCATTATTCCATGTTTCAAGTATTTTACAAAAAATTAGAGCTGATTATACAATATTTCAAGCTCAGTTTAGGTTTATAGTTTGTAACAATGTAATGAGATGAGGTAATATAAACTGGATTTGTGTGCAGAATATCATTACATTATTGTTACATAATTATAGTGAAATCATTAAGTTTTTTTGTCAAAAAGCATTTTAATTCTGGTCGTATATTAATTTAAAGTCTTCATTTTTACAGGTATTATTTTTTTAAATGGAATAAGATCATTCTAAATTTCAGAATTTTGCTTATGCCTATCAAAATGACTGGAAGAAAGCCATATAAAAAACAATAGAATAGAGAGGTAACAAAGCATAAACAAAATAGTTCCAGTTTGTTCAACTTAAGAAACTTAACGTTAAAACCAATTTTTGAATGCTGTGAATAACAAAGAAGAAAATGAAAAATGCCTAACAACAAATTTAATATAGCATCAAAATTTATATTATTTTTATTTATTTGTTATGTAACCAAATGCATAATTATCAACAATATTTCCATAAATTTGATATTTCCTGTAATAAATTCTTTATAAATATTATTTTACTTAAGTATAAGGTAGTTCTATATTTACAATTCCTTATGGCTAACCATGAAAAATATTGAACAAAACTGCTTAAAACCTTTAGGTGTGTATTACCACAAAATGATCAAATTTTGAATACACCTCCTTCTCCATAAACTCCTCATATGACCATTAAGCTTTTCTATATAGGATCAGAGTGTTATATCTGTTCACTCTTTTGGTGCTTCTGATTTGGAATCAGCTATGCTTTTTGACTGAGGAGCTATATTATTATTTTGTTTGTATATATGACTGTTATAAATTCCAACCTAGGATCAGAGTGTAGTATATGCTCAATTCCTCTGACCCAATTCCCCATATCCTGGAATCAGCTATGCTTTCTGACTGAAGAACTATACTGTTACTTTGTATGTATGGCTGTTATGCTTTTCCTACCTAAGAATTGGCCATCTTGGGTAAGATGATAAACTACATCCAACAGCAAGGTCTCTGATCAGGAGGTTTTGAGGAGTGTGGGACCACCTCTTAATTGCTGGTGTTCCCAGATCCATCCTGACCTTGTGTAGTAGCACCTGTTAGGATCCCAGCTATGGGCAAATAGTTAACTCCCAAGCTGGGGTCAAAACAATATAAAAGTGTAAAAATAGGTCTTAATACCAGATATACGTTATTAAATTATTACCAGTAATAAATTTTTGAAGGAAAAAATTATTACCAACAATACATTTTTGAAAAAAAAAAAAAAAAAAAAGAAATTACCAGCTATACATTTTTTGAAAAAAATATTATCAGAAATAGATTTTTTTTGAAAAAAATATTACCAGCAATACATTTTTGAAAAAAAAAAAAAAATATTACCAGCAATAAAAATTTTGTCGACATTATGTAACCTGTTGAAGTTGAAATGCCGTAAAACAAGCCAAACAAAATCTAGGAATTGGCTATACTTTCTGGTGAAGGAATCCCATAAAATTTGAGGAAGACTGAAATAAACAAGGAATAAATGATTGAAATGGAAAGAATTTGGAGGGGTAGAGAAAAAGAATGTTACAAAAGTGGTTCTTATTTTTTTAAATCAAGTTGTATTATACTGGAACATACCTATTCTATTATTAATAGACTCTCCCACCTATAATAAGTAGTAGTAGTAGCAGTCACGAAGTCGCTCAGAGTTGTTCAGTCAGTCGATGTCGGACATTAAAGTATCAGCCACCACAACTAGATTGCTGCATCATTAACTATTATATCAAATTCCTAACGTTTTGTACGTTGAACCTTTTTAGGACCGACTTAGTGAAATACAAGCCTCCACTGTGAAACTACTCTATAACAACTTTAGCAACCAGGATTCGAACTTAGATGGAGGAAGAAAAACTTGTTGTACTCTATAACAAGTTGACACCAAGCAAAGCAGTAAAGCTACTAAAACACAAGGGGTTACTGGGTGTCAAAAAAATTAGAAATCGGAAACATTACTATGGAGTGAGTACAGAAGAATAGTAATCAGGAGAACAATAGTGATTGACATTACGTTTAAATTTTTGAAAATTAAAGTTCACTGGAAAGCATGGAGCCGGAAGAGAGTTTCACAAGCAAGAATTGTGGGAAAAGAAACTGGTAGCCAACTCTACTCAATATCGATGAGACCTTTTCGCCAGTCTAGTACTGCTTAAATTTAAAGTCTAGGTACCATCACGAAGAGTGCATGAAAGTATTTATAGAAAAGACATGGAGAGATAACTTTATGGCAGTGGGAAAGTGACTGAAGCCGAGATGCCAGGTCAGGACCAATGACATTGCAGATTCTTTGGATTTTATCAAGGATCTCTAGATATATAGCAGGAGCACTGACCTAGATATGGTATCAATATTCTAAGCATGGACGAATGATTATAGTTATGTAAGATAGATTCTGGTGAGAAAAATTGTCTAGCACAACACAGTGAACCAATTCTCTTAGCAATAAGAACCTTACTTTTATGTAAAAATCAACTTTTACCTAAAAATATGACTGTTGTGAATTAAAAACCAATAGCCTTCTTTCCTGTAAAATATATTTTAGCATAAATGTTTGCAGTGCATGAGTTTTGTAGCTTATTAGGGTCATTTATTACAGATTTATATAGCATTTAGATAACAATATAGACAAAAAAAATGGTATAAAGGAAAGAATGAAAAGATACCTGCAAAAGGTGAGAAAAGAGCAGAGGCATGAAATATCAGTTTTTTATCGGACAGAAGAAATCCTTTTTGATTTTTTGATTTTTATAAGTGATATTGATAAAATTACAATAGCATAATTATTTCATTTGCTGAATGACAACAATCTGACCTAAGTAAAAGCTAAGTTCAAAATAACTATTCATTGGCCTAGTCTACTGCATTCGTTTTTGCATAAATGCCCTTTGGCAAGGTAGGAAGCCATCTCCATTTATTTTTTTGTTCCCTCCCCATTGCATCTATGAGTAAAATAGCAGGGTAGACTGAACTCTTGGATAGTTAGTAGTCTGTCTGAGGAAATACTACATTGAATTCAAAACCATAGAAAAGCCAACGGGAGAAACTACTCTGCTATCTTTCCAAAGAAGTCAAGGCAATTTACAGATAATAAAAGAAAAGAATTTGTGGAGAGCCTTGATTGTCCTGAAGCATGTGGCACTAAAAAATATAAGACTATATCCTTCCTTTATCTATAAAATAGCAAACGTTTTTCTTTTTCTTCTCTCTCTTTCTCCCTTTTCTCTCTCATTTTTTTCTATTTCTCTTCTTTTTTCTTTCTCCTCTTTCTGTGGTATTTTTAAGAAAGTTTAAACTTATTAATTTGTAAAATTGGTGGAAAAATTCAGTATGAATAACAGACATGCTTACAGCTGTATTATATAGAAACACCATTTCCCGTCCAATCACTGAAGTTAAGCAATGTTCAGCCTGGTCAGTATTCAAATGGGTGATCACTGGGAAATACTAGGTGCTTTCAGCTATCCAACAGGCCTGACAAGCCAATAAGGGATATAATCTCTCTCTTTATGCTAATAGAAGTCCTTGATATGCAGAGATGCTTCTGGACTGACAGTTCACAAGACCTGGGGTTTGGGGAGTAGTGTTTTAAATTTATTGCAATTTGTTTTTCTTGATAATCATTTTAAAAATCAAAAAATTAAATGAACATAAATTTGGAACCTGGAAGATAATCACTTTCAGAGACATTAAAAGTGTCTGTTCTTTCTTTCTTCTTTTTATGTGCCATGTCCTTTCAGGACATAGGCGATCATAGCTCTCCTCTACTTCCCTCTATCCCTTGTGGCTCTCAATAAGTTTTGTGCCTCTGCCAACTCTCCCAGACCACGTTCTGCCATCCACTTGCTTAAGCTTACCAGGTATGTCATGCATTTCTTTCCCTTGTCTTTTTTTCTCCTCTATTCAACCTGTGAGTATCAGATTCTCCAGGCCCTCCTTTCTCATTATGTGTCCCAGAAATTTCATCTGCCTCTTCCTTATGTTAAGTATTTCTGGATTAAAGTTGCCACAAACTGTTGAGTGACTTATCAAATTTAGGTATCTGAGCAGTTTGGTAAAAGTGTGGTTTTTCTGTAGAATTATCAATTCCCATTAGGAAAACTGATTTTAAATAACAGTACATAGGAAATTTGGTTACTAAACTGTCATGCAACATTAACAGCTTGTAGTATGTGAACACACAGATGTACTTTACTTTCTCTATCAAGATGTTAGATATGAGCAAAGTGGAAGCTTTTTTTCTTCTTTTTTTTTTTTTTTTTTTTTTTTTTTTTTTAGTATTTCCAAGATAAAAAATAGATTTAAAAGCACTTTTTTTTTTTTTTTTTTTAAAATTTTGTATGAATTTGTTGATTTACATTCTTTAATATTGTTCTTTGTAAAGATCAAACTTTTCCAAAAAGATTTTTCTTATCAGAAATATTTTTAAGTGGCTTGTGTTTACAAATTGAATATCTGTACTTGGAAAGAAATGTAAACTTGATGGTATCCATGCAATTTTCCTAAAGAAATGTGCTTCCGAAGTGGCACTCTTTCTATATAAACTCTACAATAAATGCCTTGCTTCTTCTTACTTTCCAATTTGTTGGAATTCCTCTTTTGTAGTTCCTGTTTTTAAGAACTCTGACGAACAGTCTGATCCTTAGAATTATCTCGTCATTAGTCTTCTACTTTTTTTTTTTTTTTTTTTTTTTGGCAAAGCACTAGAGGCTCTAATCAATTCTAAATTAGTTAAGCATCTCCCTTCACATGGCCTTCTTTCAAATAAACAATATGGCTTTTCTTACTCTAGGTCAACCACCGATCTGTTAATTGTTATTACTGAAAGAGCATGTCAAGTTTTAGATAAGAACCAGTAAAACTTGAGCTGTGGTTTCAGGTATTTTATTTGACAGTATGTAGGTGTTCTTCACAAAGTGAAGTGCTCTGGTTCCACTTGCTGAATTTTTTTATTTGATCCAGACCTCCTTAAGTAATCATGTCATGAAAGGCATATTGAACAGCCACTCACCTTGGTCCTTTCATATTCATTCAGGTGTCCCCCTAGGCATTTATCTTTAGACTTTGTTTCTTATCTTCATCATCAACCTTCCCAACACCATCAGTTCCCAACTCAGTATCTATGCTGATGACACAACTACTTGCTTCTGTCTTTAATAGTAAGTTTGATAAAGTAAAACTGGTAACTGATATCGAAAATAACCTTCAATCTGTTGTTGATTGGGGTAAAAAGTGGCCTATCAATTTTAATGCCTCCTAAATGAAACTGCTCATTTTTAGTCATCTAAGAGAACTTTTTTTTACCTTCCATCAGCATGGCTGATGCTAACCTTCAGGATAGTGACTCTCTGCACTTCCTTGTTTTCATGTTTTCTGCTGACAAGTGGAACGGTTATATGGAATCATTTGCTAAGTATGCTGTTAGAAAAGTTGGTTCACTGTGTTGTGCCAGAGAATTTCTTGCCAGAATCTGTCTTGCATATTTATAAATCTACCATTCGTTTGTGCATTGAATATTGCTGCCACATCTGCTCTGGTGCTCCTGTTGTATATCTTTATATTCTTAACAAAAGCCAAAGAAGAGTCTGCTATGTTATCAGTCTTGACTTGGCATCTCAGCTTCAGTTAGACGTAACCATGAGTTCTATGCTAACAGTTTCTTCTCTCATATTTCTTCCATGTTTAACTCTTTTCTAGCTTCTTGATTTCTCATAACCACACAAGTTTCCCACCATCATAAAGTGGCTTCACTATGTCTTTTCTGTAACTATTTTCATGGTAGTTTTTCTAATGAGCTTTCCTCTTTGGTACCTCAAACAAATGAATTTAAACATAGTACTAGATTGGCAACTTGGTCTCATCATTTTACTTTTGAAATAGCTATATATGACCATGTTCTATTCTAATAGTTTCTCATCCTGGTTATGACGATAAGCTACATCTGTGTCCTGGGTTAGATGATAAACTACGTCCAACAACAAGGCCTCTGATCAGGTGGTTGTGAGGAGCATGGAACCACTTCTTAATTGTTGGTGTTCCCAGGTCCACCCAGACCCAGGGTAGTAGCACCTGTTAGGGTCTCAGCTATGGGCAAATAGTTAACACCCAAACTTGTGTAAAAATAGGTTTTAATACCAGAAATACTCTGTAATTTAAAATATATATTACCAGCAATAATTTTTGAAGGAAAAATTATTATCAGCAATACTTTAAAAAAAAAAGTACCAGTAATACAAACAGCTATACATTCTCTGAAAAAATATTACCAGCTATAGATTTTTTCAAGGAAAAATATTCTCAGAAATAGATTTTTGAAGAAAAACATTGCCAGCAATAAAAATTTTGTCAGCATTAAATAACACATTGAGGTTGATATGCCGTAAAACGAATCAAACCAATAGTTTCTTTTCTTGCACTTCTCACCTGTGGAACACTCTTCCAGTTTCTTTCTTTCCTGGCAACTAGGATCTTCAGAAATTTAAATGCAACATCAATCATCATCTTCTGTCTTTCTGAAATCTGTTCTTTTATTATTCATTCTCCTCACTAATGTTTTCGCATTTTCTTTCACTCTCAGTAAACCCTTGCGTCTTAATGGCATTATTGCCATGTTTCGGGTGAAGTGATTAAAATATATATCCACTATATTGATATCACTCCCCATGAACTAGCTAAAGATCTAACAAATAGATAGAATTATCTCATCAAGCATGACTGATCCATACATCCATCACTTTGATTCTAAATAAGCAAATCACTTTGATCTCTACATCTGTCCTCTTTAATCCTTTCAAGACTGAATATCTTTCTGCAGTTTACCAATTTAAAAAAAAAAACTGCCACATCTGATCTGGTGCCTCTGCTATATGTTTAGAGATTCTTGATAAAATACAACAAAGAATCTGCAACATTATTGGTCCTGATCTGGCATCTTGGCTTCAGTCCCTTCCCTACTGCCATAATGTAGCTTCTTTGTTCCTTTTCTATAAATGATTCATGGTAATTGTTCTGATGAACTTCTCACTATAGTACCTAGATTTTATGACTTTAAGCACAGTACTAGATTGGCAGCTAGGTCTCATCATTTTACAATTGAAATGGCTAGACGTAACCATGAGTTCTATGCTAACAGTTTCTTCTCTCATATTTCTTGCTTGTGTAACTCTTTTCTAGCTTCTTGCTTTCTCAGTCAACTTTGATTTTCAAAAATTTAAATTTATTGTCAGTCATTATCTTCTGTCTTAATTTTTCTGTTTTTTTTTATTGCTCTCTCTCTCTCCTTAATAATGTTTTTTATCTTTTTTTTTTCTTCCTCATATTTCCAACACTCAGTAACTCCCTTGTGTTATAGCTTTATTGTCTTTCTTGGGGTGAAATATGTAAAAAAAAAAAAAAAAAAAAATTGAATTCAGTTTGTGAGTTAACTACACAAGTTCACCCCTGTATACCATATGCTCTGTTAGGATTTATTTTCTGTGGGCGGAAGCATTTTTACTCATGAATGTTTGATTTTGTCCATTTGCATGAAAATCAGTTGCAATAAAATATTCATATTTATATTCAGTTTACCTGGCCAGATCTGACCTGTCTATCTGTCAATTAAACTTTTAACTTATCACAGTCACTTTGTTTGACATTATCATCTTTGCTCTAAATAGCATTTTATACTCACCATTATAAACTTATTTTACCATTAATAATGTTTTTGTCTTATGAGTAGATTGTTAATCACTTTGTTTTTGCAGTTTCCAATGTCAGTTCATTTTTTCTTTTCTTCACTTAAAGAGATTGATATAAGACACATGTGTAATTCTATAAATCACTTATTTATATTAAGATTTACATCCTCGTCTTTGTTAGTTTCATAATGTTTCGGCTATTGTACCCTCCAGCCTTCTTCAGGTATCTGTCAATCCAGGCAACCATCAAGGAATTTTGAACTAGACCCTTCATTTAATCTACACAAATAGATTGTTCTTGTTCTGTTTTTTGTTTCCCCCAACCTCCTTTACAATAATCTCACTTAGTAGCTATCTACCTTGAGTGGCACTTGGATCTTATATTGGGTGGAATAAAGAAATTTCTCTCTCTATATATATATATATATATATATATATATAATCTCATTCTGTACTATGCAGTCTATGGATTGGACTGAAAATTACTATAAATTCCTAAACCAACAGTAATATTAGCCTTTTCTCTACTGAGCAGCAGTATTGCTATTTGTTGGAATTTATAAAATATTTATCTTAAAATAATTTTTCAGGAAAATAGCTTTCTCAAATCCAGTAGTTGTCGTCACTCTTTCCCGTATTGATGGTGCTTTTTTTTTTTTTCAAAGATTTTATTTGAACATCAGCATCTTCATTATGTCATTTTTTTTCTGTTTGTGTTATATGTACTATCCATTTTAGTTGCTGCTGTTGGAAGTCCTCAAGTGATGTGGTTTTTGT